ATAGGAAGAACCCCAGTGGCCTCTTTCAAGAGATTTGTTTCTAAAATGACCTCTCTCTCTCAGAGCTGTCATCACTCTCTGCATGGGTAGCTGCCCGAGGAAGATGTGATAAGCAGTAGGGCTGGAGTGGGGAGGCTGGGAGGAAGAGGAGAGCTGCTCTGCAGATGTGTGCACACAGGGAGGGTGGGCCTCCACATAGGGTGGTAACCTGGGGCTTGATTCATTCCCACTCATTTTACCACATTCTTCCTGTGTGGCACTGGAGGCACCACTTGATCTGGTCATGCCTCAGTTCCCAAACTTTAAACTGAGACCTTTGTATTCCTTTATCCACAACAGTAGCGTAAGAATAAGTATGCACAGGACCAGGTGGTGCTCGGAACAGCCAGCAATGAAAGCCACATGTATGCATACAGATATATAGATATATACACTGAGGTGAAACCAGAGTTACAAAGTCCAAAGCTCTATGGAACTGAGGAATGGATAGGATCATCATGAAAATAGGCATTTGTTACAGACAGTCTGAACCAGGTTCAGACATCAAGTGTCACCTCAAGCAGAGGAGGTGACTTGGACCTGAGAGAGCATTTTGAATTTACTGGTGTTCATGGGGTGCAGAACCCAGCACTGAGTCCTTACTCAGGTTTACACAGCAGTCTTGCACATGCTGAAAGCCTTTGTTGCATTGGCAAGATGAAAACTTTTTCCACCCTTTTGTGGTATAGTTCTCTACCCCAGTGCACAGTTACCTGATTATTTTCCTCCTGCAGGGCTCTCTTTCTGGTTAGACCCTCTATCCTTAAAGTTCCCATATGGTTCTAGGTAAACACTGCCATTTTAACATATTAAGGAAAGTAACATCTTGGCAATTCTCATTCACATTGCTGCAAACTCAACCAAACCAAAGTGGTTTGAACGCTACAAAAGTTTACTTTAGCTGCTCTGGTTTTGTGTTACATTTTACTATGCGGCCTAGTTATTCTTGCCAATTAGCCCATGATGTTACGACCTGCTTTAGTGGGAAGAAATAGGAGATGAGCTACTTTCTGATGTAGAAAATTAGAAAATTCTGGGCTCAAATCTGGGATCCACCAGAGTGTATTAAAAGCTTAACTGTGGCATGTAAGGCCTAGGAGACACCTTTTATAGACATATTTGATAAAGCAGAGGCACATAAATTTTTATGGCTATTTATTGGGAACTCAAGAGCTGCCCCTAATCTAATTTATTTTTCACTTCATCCATAGATTTCCAAGTCTTTACTGAAGTCAGCTGAATCACCCAAAGCTATATAGCCAATGGCAGAGGTTTTAATCCAACCCATGTCTCTCCATCCTCTTCTAGACTACTCTGTCTCCACAAAAAATGTTGTGGATTGCAGCCGTCAGGAATGCAGAAGGATGCAGCCTCTGGCAACTAGGATTTCTGTCAGGAATCAACTTGATTTGTCTGGTCACACTGCTCAGATCTAGATAAAATACTGCGCAATTGGACCCCTGGGCTTTGCAGTCATGGTACCATGTGTAGAAAGTAGGATTCAACATGTGCTTGAGATCAGCAGGTCAGGCTAGTCCCACAGGCCACCCCTCAATTATTCCTATGCATCTGAGAGTAACTATGTTGTTGATGGGCACATCAGATGACCACACTAACTCTAGGCTTGCAGATGACCACACTAACTGACAGGCAGCCAGTGATGACTCTTCTTGCTTTCTGTGGCTGACTGCTGGAATATGAGCTAAACGCAGTGTCACTGCAAATAGTCCTGTTGCTGTCATCCCAGAAAATTAAGCAGTTTAAAAAGGCAAAGCCATTTGATTGTTTGTCTGAAGAAAGACAGCCAAGTTAAAAGAGTTAATAGAGGTGATTCTGGACAGCTTCCAGCAGCTGAGCTATTAATAAAAACAATGGAAACATGCCAAACCTCTTCTGTTTTCTTTAGCAATTAGTATGCATTCCTTTAAATTTTTAAGCTGCAAACGCCATAGCTATCTGAGCAGGATACTTCTATGTGAGGTCCCTTTTCAGGGCTGTCTCCAGTGTGTCACTCATAAACATTCTAGTTTTCTGTTGTTCCTTCTCTAAAAGAAAAGACTACTGGAGGATTTGATTTTTGTTTTCTTGCTCTTTTTGTCCTTTTCCCCTTACCTCTTAGCCATATGCTACATGGATGACTAAAACCCACTTTGGTTGCGCTGATACTTTAAGAACTTCAAAGTGGGAAGCTTAACAAAGCCAAGTCAGCCTTTGATGATAAACATGCAGAGCAGAGCAAGTCTAGAGAAGCAGGATGCAGATAGTCACTTGTTGTTAGGCATTTTCACTTGACTGAATCTGTGAATGAAAGCGCAAGGTCAGACTCAGAACTATTTTTTTCTCTCGCTGTTTTTCTTTTTTTTTCTGCTGAGATAGCCCAGAGCAGTATACTGCAAGGATGTGTTAGACATCGAGCAATTCTCCACAGTGAAAGGAGTTAACTTGGACCAAACAGACGATGATTTCTATTCCAAGTTTTCCACGGGATCAGTGTCTATTCCATGGCAAAATGAGGTAAGGCTGTAAAATTAGTAGTAAAATTACTCCAGTAAAACCCCTAACACAGATGGTTCAAGAGGAGCTGTATATTTTCAGTAATATATAGCTACTGGATACTTTGCCAGTCTCTAATGCTTTCATAAGTTACAAATGGCCTCTTTCAAGATCTATAAGGTACCACAGATGTCAGGCACAGATGACTGTATCTGTTGGCTCTGCATATTTGTGTAAATTGGCAAGGATCCTACTGTGCTTCCTTCTCCTGGATTGCTACAGAGGTGTTGTGACAACAGCTCTGAGGAACTTCCATGGGATGGCTGGAAGACCTAATGGAAGGTTCCTCCATTGACGATCCTGATCTCACCCATTGTCTTATACTTGCAGTGGTTCCCAGCTGCAACAGTTGACTCTGGACCTTGAACTGCTCCAAGGGTTTCCAGATCTGGGTCTTTGTTTCTGTTTGATATCAAAACGCAGCCAACAGTGGGTTTCATATTGCAGCTCTGGATCAGAGCCAAATCTGGCAGATTTGCTTGGGCAGAGGGGTGCTAATAACTGGGATTTTGTATGCCTGTCTTTACCCAATATTATCCCCAGTGCTAAAGAAAATAACAGAAAGCATTATGGGGCAACTTCTAATAAGATTGATGTGCAAACATGTAGAGCAGACTCAGCCTCTCTTTTTTGTTATACATCCTATTTACCTTCTATAGCCACCATCAGGAATTCAACTATTAACTCTCCTGACATACTGCTCAAGCTGCTGGTCCTGATCCCAACTTTGAACTACCTAGAACTGCTGGAATATATTTGATGCATATGTATGATTTCTTTTTTTCTTTCTTATTATATACCACTAGATGATAGAAACAGAGTGTTTCAAAGAACTGAATGTATTTGGACCAAATGGTACTATTTCACCAGACCTAAACAAAAGCTACCCCCCAGAGCCACCCAAGAAAGGATTGCTACAGAGAATATTTAAACGACAGGTGAGATCTTTTATGAATAAGACAAGGCACCTCTCATAGATGCCCAGTATCACAGCCATGTTCTGGTAGTATTTTTGTAGGAGAAAGACAGTGTGTCTTAGAGAGGGCTTGCTGTCACTGTTATCTGGTAATTTCCTGCCTGTCCCAGGTTTCCCATCTACCTCTTGTGATCTTTTTACTGCCAGAAGTTCCAGTGGTTTTCATCATCTTTGTTTCCAGTGGTTGAAAACTTCTTTACCCAAACTATTTTTCAGTGGTATGCTGACATACCTTTTGAAATGGTTATATGGTTTTGATAAGTTCCTTGTGAAAACCCTTCATTTATGTGTTAAAAAAAAGAAAATGCAAATGTTGAGTGAGGTAGTCATGGCAGGAAAGCAAGACACTAGAGAAGAGAGCAGACCAGATAATACGTGATGTACAGCTTTCATGAGGCACCATGGCACCATTTGCAAACCTCATTATCATTCTTAGACCCATCTATTTCTGTAGGGTTAAAACCATGCCTGAGCATTGTCAGGTATCCTCTATATTAGTCAGATTTAGCAGATAATGACATTTTGCAGTGAATTGATTTGACTCCTGGAGCTCGAGTGAGTCTTCTTTGCTGCATTCATCAGGAAGTGCCATAGTCTTCCTGACCTAGAGAGAATACAGGTAAGAAAGTGAAGAATATTTTATATCCGAAGATATTCAAAGTAAAATCTTGCAGCCTGTCAGTACATTATCACCATAAAATGAACATGTTGCTCTTTGAGAAAGCATGGTATGTTTTGGGAATCTAATTGTTATTGTCTTCCTTTTTCTACAGCATCAGAACAATTCAAAGAGTTCTCCAAATTCAAAGGCCAGTTTAAATCACCACCTAAATTCAAATCACGTAAGTTCAAACTCCACTGGAAGCAGCTAGTTCCAACTCAGTTTTATGAAACAACGTGTTGCATCCTTCCACTATAATCTATGGAGCCTCTATGGATGAGAGAGCCTCCACCAATGAGTGAAAAAAAAAAAAAGGATCTCCCAAAAATGGAGATTTTCTATCCATTCCTTCCAGTGGAGCCTCGCATTTTAAGAAGAATTTTCCACTCAGGTCTGTTTTTGGAGGTGGCACTCAAGACTGTGTGAATCAAATTTGTCTATTTAGAACATTGCAATAGAAATTCAATGAACATGACTACTTGCACGTATTTAAATAGCATCATACTAGAACTGAATTTTGTCTTTATTATTTTTAAAGAAAAGTTTTGTAAATTTCTCTATTGTCTCAGTTTACATTTTGTACATTTGTATTTAAATGAAAGTCAGACTTTGGAGGTGTATATTTTCCAAGCAGCAGTTGTAAAGCCATGTGTTTTAAGACATTTTTTTAAAAGAAAAAAATGTGACTCAAGACTTCCAGAGCCTCAAATGAGAAATCAGTCTTTTTAGAAATTCTAGAAAATTATTCATAAATCACTTTATCAGACTGGGTTTTACTGACATGCATTTTTATGGAACAGTTTATTCTTAATTATTTTACATCTGTATATTTGGTTTACAGCAACACTGCATACATTTCTCCTCTTCATTAGTTTGTAATGTCTCGCATTAAATGCTAAAAGACAAGATTCTGATGCATTCAGGAATGCTACTTGCTATGCCTAAGGTTTGTGATGTCAGGGGACGAGCACAGCTGAGATTTGCACTTACTTATATTGTTAGCTCATTGAAAACTTTTTGATTATTTTCAGTGCTTCTCCTTCACTAGCTTTTGTGCCATTTCTAGTGACAGCAAGAACAAAACTGAGTGAGAGGTGACCAGGAAAGCAGATGACCATTTGTTTTTCAAGGACTTGAAACCTGCACCTGCTGAAATGAGAGCAAAACTCCATGCTGCAGACAAAAGTCCAAGGCCTTTCCTCAGTTGCTTATATCAAATAGGTAGCAAGAGAGGAATTCAATAGTCTGGTTTGTGCTTTCCTATCAGCTTTCTAGAGCTCAGGTGGGGAGGTTCAGAGTGGGATCTGAGCTGCTTTTGAGCAGTAGCAGTACCTGTAGGTTGTGTCTGCACTTAGACTTCTTCATGTGTTATGCCAAACACACTATGACTCATCCCCTCAATTAGGTCCTCAACTTAATTGAATAAAATGTCTGTTATGAAATAATACATCCCACTTTTGATTCCATCATTCTTTGTCCAGGTTCCTTTAACCATTGATGAAAACATTGTTCCCACTAGTATAAGCAGGATTGGTCAGGATCAGTAGCAGTACTTCAGGCATCAGAAACATGCTCTTCTCAAGTATGCCACTATCCATTATTATTAAGAACACCAGATCAGAAATATGGTTAATTCCCTTCAACAGGAATTGGAAAACCTTTGTTACCTCAAGTGCAGACAGGCTCTCCATAACCCAACATATTCTGTAAAACAGGTTGGTTCACCATGCTCTTTACAATGTCGGCTAGAGTAGCCTGATGATTTTACACTTTTGGGTCAGTCAGGAGCATCTGAAGGTCAGCCTGGTGTGTCTAAAACCCTGTTAGCTAGTAGTGCAGTTATCCCAGGGTACAAGGAAGCACTGTTCCAGTGAAAGTCTTAATCGACAAAATTCATTAGACTATCACATATATGTTCTATCTGGCCAATGCAGAAGGGAAAAAAGATGCAGGTTAGTAGTGACAAAGCTCTGAGTGAGAAAGTCACAGGAATTACGTACTAAAACAGCTTGAGGTTATGAGGGAGAGAGACAGGAAAAGGCCAGAATTGGCATAAAGCAGCTGACAGAGAAAAGTCAAGAAAGGGAGGTGGGGCTTTGGCACCTTTGTCAAGAGTAAAATATGTTAAGATGCAAGTCCACATCATTCCAAAACCCTCCAGTTTTCCTGGTCACTAGTAGACATGCAGTGAAGCTGTGTAAGTGTGCCATAGCACCACCAAGAAGCTGTTCCTCTTTTTAGTCAGATCAGCATGGCCCAGAAATTCCTTTTCCCTGTATCGGTGGTGCTAAGAGAGGGCTTCAGCCACTCTCCCATGTGAAATGATGTCATTGCAGATCTTACAGAAGAGGCAGGAATTTAGAGAGGCAGTAATAGATCAGATTTTTTGAGTAATTTTCTCTCTGTATCAGCTATAAACTAAATCTATAATGGTTTCAGCTTCATGACAGGAGTGGAATGAAATATTGTAGAGGTGAAAGCCACTATGCACAGATGGGGCTATTACCTCCAGTTGTGTTCTCGTGGCCTGACATAAAGCTACCTATGTCAGTGAGAATCTGATCAGTCACTTCAGCACACGCTGCATGAAGACATCCTTGCTGTGAGAGGTTTTCACAGGCCTTCTTCAATGACATACGGGATTCTACCTGATTTCAAGAAATGTAGGTGAGAAGTGAAGGAACAGATCTTAGCCAGACAATTGATGTATATCAGTGTACCTAGACAAGATAAGACATGCATCTTAGTTTTTCTTGGAGAGCTGTAAGTGTTGTGCAGCTTTGACCTGTTTCTATCACTCTGAGACATCCCCTTCTAACAGTACTGTTGTGCACCGTCAGTTGATTTCATCCTGTGCAACTGGTGCTAGAGAAAGGGGGTGCTGGATGGGGACTTGAATGAAAGATTAAGCTATTTTTCCACTACTGCCATTATCTCACTTTGCAGGAACAGACGAACATATTGCCCCATCAGAAAAACATGAGTGGTAATATCTATCTGCCACCATGAGAAAAGGAAAAAGAAGGTTGGGGGAAGGCTTAGTCCATTAATGTTTCATTGGATAAATCTGATAAAACTGCAGCTATTGGCCCAAAGGCTTCATCTCCTATGTTACCAATTTGGCACATGAAGACTAAATTTTCTTTCTTTACCATCTCCCACTTGGGAAATAAAATCCTAATAACAACAAACCCCTTACTTAAAGCTGGTAAACAAATTGCAAATACAGATTGTAGATGGCCTTATGACCATGCTATCAGCCTTACTAGTGGTGGGTTACTTTTTTACATTACAACATTGAATGATAGCAAATGTGCCTTCTCCTGCTCTCCTTTCAGCTGGGACAGTTTCTTACTCGGCACCTCTAGGACTCTAGCAGTGGAGACACAGGGACAGTGCAAAGTCCTCAGATGACAAGAGCTGCATTCAGTGAGTCCTGAAATTTGGAGGACATTCTGCTAGGGTTAGATATCCTGAATCGTCAAGATGGTATGGAAGAAGGATGCTTATGTCCATTTGAAGTTTCAAGCCTGGGATGAAGCCAGCCTGAAGTTTCAAGCCTGGACCCCAGCCCCTTGGGAGCAGTGAGTGAGTAAGGGGAGAGACAGAAAAGAAGATCAGTTGAGGGAGATTTCATGCTGCATCCCTAATGTGTTGCTATCCTGTCTGACAGACTTTAAACAGTATTACAATGCTGGGGTGGCAGAATTGTTGTACTTTTTCAATATCCAAGCCCTGAAAGATTCAATCAATATCATACATCACTAGTGATAATGACCAGTCCTAGGAATCTTCTAGTCAGGGTTTGCCTACAACAATAAAACCCACAGGATTTTCTTTTTTATTACTTCTTTTTTTCTTTCTTTCTTTCTTTTTTTTTTTTATTATTCAGCTCACCTTGCACTCAGGACTAGAGCAGGACCATAGTCCTCTCACTTTCCACTGTGTGACCAGGTGCAATATGAGACCAGAACTCAGGGCTGAAGCCCTGCTGAGGCAATCCCCTGCACAGCCAGGCTTCCACAGACACTTGGCATCTGGCTCCATGGAGCCAAATTCAAGAAACAGTGGGAGCCATGGTTGTTCAGGAACGCTAAAAAAAAAAAAAAGACTTAATGGTTTCATCATACAAACTTGGAGAGCATTTGCAGTGGGATTTTTAGTATTTTGGTTCAAAATGAATAGTTTTTGAGGTGGCTTTGCACATAACAAAGGAGCAGAAAGGAGTAATTACTTGATAGCTTTCCAGACTGGTTAATTTTCTATATCTCCTTTCCAATTACAATACAAATTCTTTCCAAAAAATGCATATCCTCAGATCTGATTGCTTGTTTTAAATAGACAGATGAGCAATCCTAGCTTTTTTAAAGAATCAGAAATCTTTTGCAATCTGAATTTATCCTGAATTGTGCAACCATATTTTTTAAATTTTTACTGAGTAGTAGTCTGATGAACATTAGTTTACAGGCTTTTATGTTTCAGGTGTTTGGTATTCATTTTCCACAGTTTCTCAAGGCTCACTTAAATCTTGCAGCATTTTTTCCTGCTCTTTGGATGGATGAGAGGGTTTTTTAAACTAAGGCATAATGAAGGAAAAAACCCCAAATAATATGAAGGAAAAAAACCCAAATAATAAACCCTTACATGTGCACTCTTGACCTGGGTTATCTAAAAAGAGATTTTTTTTACAAGAATGGCCATGACTCAGATGTTGTTTCTGAACAATAACTTGCTTGTGAAGCTTGGAAAGGTGTGAAGATAATCAAACCAAACAGGTACTGGAGATCAAACTGAGCATTAGGGAGCTGCAGAATTCACAATCACAGCATTCTTCTGGCCCTAGTGATTACCAGGTGTGGTAACCAGCAGTTCAGAGACAATACCAGCTATCCATTAGAATGGTTTGATACCATCTCAATTTGCAGTCATCCCCTCCCTCAGAAACTATGGCTAAGAGTACCATCAGCAGTAGGAATCAAACTTGGCTGACCCAGTAAAGCATCTGATTTGAAGACACTGATTCTTAATGTCATTCAACCAGACCTCAGGATCCAGCTTGAATTCTTTGCTTCGTCTGTCAAACCCTCACATTGCAAATCCAGTTGCTGTTGATCTTTTTCAGTAGAGATGCCTCAGCTAAAAAGAAAACCAGGGAACCAATCTGTAATACTAATAAAACCATGGGCAGGACAAGGAAGACAGACAAGCTGTGAGCTCTGGAGGACAGTGTGAAAACTACCATAATGTGTGTATCTTCAGCAAGTGTCCAATGGCAGTTGTTATCACACATTGCTGCACATTCTTCCTTGGTTGCTGACAGTTTTTGAGTAACCTTGAAATTACACACACCAGGTCATAGTAAGCATCAGGTCTGGCCCGTGGCTCAGAGACATCATCTCTATGAGGGTCAGGTTGATGAGGCAAGCAGGTATCCACTCAGCCTGCATGAAGGACTCTGTTCCCACGTACCAGAGTCTCAGTCAGGAGGTCCTTGTGTAGACTTGTGTAAATGCACACCCTTGTAACCCTTGTAACACAATTGCTTCTTCTTACGGACATCCACGAAACAGGACCTGACGTCATTGTGGACAAGATATGGGTGTTTTAACCTCTGCTTCACAGTTAGTCATGTTTTGGGGTTTTTTTAGTTCGTATTTGTAATACTCACAAAGTTAAGTCTCTCAGTGGAGATGAGATGAATGCATTCATCAGACACTTTTCAGCATTTCCCATATGATCTTTGAAAAGATTGGACTTTGCTTTGAAGGAACATCCTTGGGTTAATATGCCCTTTGGGATGTAGACCATCTTCCTTCATGTGTGTAGCATGAAGCACAAAATAGCCTGTAGGATCTCTAGCCGTCCAAACTTACAAGCTCTCCTGCCTGAGGATAGTCTGAGGGTGCAGAGAGGAATATTTGGCAGTGAAGTTCAGGAGAATGACTCTGCTCAATAGCTCCATGGAAGACAAAAGGTTCCAGAGCTGTCTACATCAAGCCTTCCACAAATATGACCTGCAATTTAAAATACTAGAGTATTTTAGAGTACTTTAGAGTAAGAATAAAAAATACAAACACAATTTTTCACTTTTGTGTGCTGGGCAGGACACAATCTCTTTTTAAACTAAATAATATTGTTTATGCAGGGTTGGCTGGTAATAACATTATGTCCTTAACTGCAAAAAGAAAAGAGAAAGAAATTGGTTCAGAGAATTTTGCAAATTATTTCCTCTAGGGAAACCACCAAAGAAGGAGAAGGCCAGCAGTATGCTACAGTATTATACACTCACCTCCCCCAAACGTCTCTGTGATAATACAAATACAAGCTGCTGCAGCTGGATCAGCGAAGCTAGCGTACTGAAAAATGGGCTTTATGAAAGAAATAATTTTAAACAGATTGCTGCCTATTCATTAAAATTAATATTACTGCTGGCACAATGTATTCTCCTTGGTTTATGTACTAGAGCCAGAAGTGGTGGTTTGTATTCCTATTCTGCCCATGTTTTTCTTCACTGCCCTGAGCAAACCTCCATGCATTTTTGTTTTCCCATTCTTAAACGTGGAGGGATGCTCTCTGTCTATCAATGGAAAGCACTTTGGAGTCTGTGCATAAAACAGATCAATATCAACTCTTTGTATTATTATTTAAGTGAAATAGGCTTAATATAGCTGCTCTTATTTACATGACTAGGGAGAAGATTCTTGTAAATTAGGGCTCTTTTTTTATTATTGGTTTGTCTTAGTTCCTTATGGATATTGAAACAGAATGCACTGCACTTCTGTAAAGACATCTCCAACAGAACATGAGATTATAGTGCAAATGTTAAAGTATTCATTTCTTATTTAAGAGCTAGCTACTAATTGTGGCGTTCACACAAACACTTCTTTTTTATATTGGAAAGAAATGGTTACGAGGAAGGAAACAAAACAGCATTCATCAGTTCTTGGCCAACTTTTTTGTCCAAGCCTGCAAATTAATTCCTAGGTACCAAATAAGTGAAATGCTGTGTGAAGTCACAAAGGTGCATGCGTGGCAAACATTGGGTCAACTCACTGCCTGGTTATGGAGACAAAAGAGGCAACCACATGCCTGGAATCAACGGGTTCCAAAGGAGAAGTCCAGGTTTTCTGGAGAGTCAGCAGTTATGTAGAGAAGATTCACTCCCAGAGAAGAAACATTTCAGGTAGTGGCTGGATGACAAATGTGTTTTCCTTTCTCATCACCCCACACGCAGCTGTTAGATATGTTTATCAGCAAGCTCAAATGAGTTATGTTTCATGTGTATTGAATGTGGTCTCTCTTAATTGCATTTCTTTTAAACACTGGACACTCTTCTAAAAGACTTAACATTTTAGCCTTTTGAAGGTAAAAGTTGTAAAAACTTTATTTTGTGTTTCTGAGCAATGTAGATAGACCTAAAGATTTTATGAACTATCATGTGGTTGCCCGTATCTGACTAATAATTGAATTGTAAAATTACAGTTTCATATTAGGGTTAGTCTTTTCACCTGCTTTAAAAATTAAAAATCATATTTGGTATATAAACACACACAGAATATCCTTCTGATTGAATTTCAAGAGCATATCCAGGATTAAATGTTTTTAAGCACTTCTAATACTGTAGTCTATAAGAGGAGCAGACACTTCTAAAGCAATGTTAGAAGTTGTCTGTCATAACTGAGTCAACGGATCATTTTTGTAATAAATTAAAGCAAGTGTTCTCAATTAGAAGAGTTAGTGGCTGTTGGTATTGTACAAAAAAATCATTCTAGTATCCAAAGGGTTAGGGGTGGGGAGGGTCTGTTTGGTTTTGTTTCTCTTTCCAGGGAGATCTTTAACATTGTTTGATGAAGCTAGTTTCATTTTGAGATTGTTACTGAAGATAAAGGCTTCTGTGTTCTATGGCTGCTTGGATTCTTCGTACATAATGTCCTGGTAATGTCACAGTGCTGCTGTATCTAGATCAAACCACTGTTTTGATTGTTTATTTGGCTTTGGTTTTGTTTTTTTTTTTTTAATAAATTCCTTAATTTAAATACATGAAAACTATAGATTTTGCTTTAATGAGGCTTATAATCAAATGGAACTTCCTCAGGTCCTTGGGATCTTAAAGATTATTACAGCAAGAGTGGGATGCAGCCCATATCTTGCTAGATGCCTTTGTGGCTTCATATGTTTTAATATTACTGTCTTTTGTATTTTCTGTCCCATCACATCTTCACAGAGATTGAGGGAACTGAAAACCAAACTGAGGTTGTATCTCACTTTGTGGAGGTTCAGATTCTCATCTGAAAACAGGTTGTGTTCCCCTGAGATGTCCTTCCTCTGCCTTCCATCCTCACATCCCCAGCCTTCCTCTGCACTGCAAACTGTCAGCCAACACAGCGCTTTGACCTTAAAAATAAGTTCAAGGAAAGGATGACAAAATCCCTAGTAGGGATGCAGGCTTCAGAAGACATGAACTATTTTTTTAAGTTGAGCACTGTCTGATTTATGAGGCCCTACAGAGAACTTTGCCTAAGCTCCAATTAGGCAGAGAGGAAGTGTTTAGAGAAGGAAAACAACACCAACCACCAACCAAGTGTGCTCTTCAGTATTCCGTACAGAAAGATCTAAAACAAAGATAAAGAGTAGCTGCAAAATCACCAGAGGAAAGTGGTGCAGTGCTTTTCTTTAAGAGGAGAAAGAAGAATTATTCAGAGGCATAAAGAATATTTGTATGAGACTGCTAATGGCAAACAGTGTTTGCATCAAGTTTCATCAAAGATCACTGTGAAAACAGATAATCTGCATGAAAGCAGCAGCTATGTCCAACAGTAAAACCTAAGGTAATAGACTACATAAATTCAGGTTGTGCATATTATCATTTTCCAAACAAACCCAAGCCACTTTTCACAAGATTTTAGCAGTCTGAGAGGATGTGAGATGAAATTTTATTCCTCCTCTAACAGTTCTCGGTGATTTTGTTCTCTCTGTGACTTGATGTCCTTTCTGTACAGCAACATCTAGATATGTTCCCTCTTGGGAGATGTAATCTTCCTTAGACTTTTCTATTATCTCCAGCATGAGATGAACAGCTTCTCAGAGGAAAGTCATTACAATATTTTGAAGGACATACAATTAAAAAAGCATGTCAACTTTTTTAAATCCTTAGGGTGCTTTATAGATGAAAAATACCATAAATGGGCCTGACTGTGCAATTTCAGGTCTATAGGGTGCTTCTGGGGGAGGAGACAATATAAGTTTCTGCCAAGTCAGAGTCTAATTTGCTAGGTTTTGTCATTCTATTTCGTATTTGGTATACAGTAAAAGTAAAAAATAAAACTAAAATAGGGCCTATTAAAACTTGGTGCTCTGAATTGTCCTGAGTGGAGAAGAGTATTTCTGCTGCAGAGGCTTGAGTAGCCCATTTACAGACCCTTGGGTAAATTTTACCTGATATTCTATTTTTCTTAATTACAGTTTCACTGCTAAATTTTTTCTTAATTCAAGGAATGTTTGTTCCTCTGCTGTCAGCAAACATCATAGAATCATAGAATAGTTTAGGTTGGAAAAGGCCTTTAAGATTATCAAGTCC